GGTTGCTGGGAATTGAACTCAGGACCTTTGGAAGAGTAGGCAGTGCTCTTAACCACTGAGCCATCTCTCCAGCTCCCCTCAGATTGAGTTTCTGTCCATAGAAAGTTTTTCAAACCATTATTTTGGAATTTGAAAGCAGATAAAGATCCAAACCTTAGTCCTGTTTGTTTGTTTGTTTGTTTGTTTGTTTGTTTGGAGATAGGTCTCCTGTGTTCCAGGCTGTCCATAAACTTGCGTTGTAGAGGATGATCTTGAACTTCCGATCCTCTTGCTTCCATTTCCTGAGTGCTGGTATCAGCCCCCAGCTGGTACTGGGGATCCAGCCCAGAGTTCTGTGTGTGTCAAGCAGGCACTCTGCCAACTGAGCCGCATCCCCAGCCCCAATCCTCAGTCCTTGTCCTCTAATTCTGACTCAGTAATTCAGTGAGAGGCAGCTTTCCACAGTTGTACTGGTGTGTTTCTTGTAAAATCAAATCTAATTTGTTTCTATCAGATCTAATCATATATATTCCCAATGAACACATGTACTTGCTCACGTATACATGTATACATGCTACCAGTGGTTGGGTTTAGCTGGGTGCTGCCTGGTTCAGTGCTTCTTATCCAAAGCTGTAGTGTGGCCCATTGAAATACACAGTTTACCCTTTGGTCTGTTCATCTTTGCTTGCAAGTGTTAATTACCACAAGTCATTGGTCTGGCTTAAGGCCTCTGGTTTCTGCTATACGATCAATGGGCTCTAACTGGGACTCCTCTTGGATATCCTGTAGTTGTCCTAAGTCATGGAGATCCATCCTGCTGTTTGGATCTGTAGGTTCGTCCGCTTCATATGCTCCAATAGTTCTTAGATTCAGTGGATGTTGGGATGGGCCAACTCATAGACCTGGTTCTGGGCTTGGCAGTAACTTGGTTGATCAGCTCATTAGCTTTCCCTCATCATCACTACTTGGATGCGCTCTCCAGCACTGCCTCAGAATCTGTTTTGCCCAGGCAAGGTGCAGGGCCCTCTCTCCTGATTGTTGTAGAGAGCATGTGAGGAGGAATAGGGTGGGCTCTACTGCTCTCATACCCTCAGGGCTGGCTCACCCGTGTGGTCAGAGACTGCTCATTTGTTCCCAGCTACCCAGATCCAGAATAAACACAGAGAGACTTTATTAATTGCAATACTGTTTGGCCAATAGCTTAAGTGTATTTCTAACTAGCTCTTACATCTTAAATTAACCCATTCCTATTATTTTATATTTTACCAGGAGGCTCATGGCCTACCTGCAAGGTTCTAGCTCACATTTCATGTCTTTTTCTTCTGATGGCTACATGGTGTCTCACTGACTCAGCCTTCTTTCTTCTAGCATTCAGTTTAGTTTTTCTGCCAAGCTCTATTCTGCCCTGTCATAGGCCCAAGTAGCTTCTTTATTAACCAATGACATTCACATCATACAGAGGGGAATCCCACATCACCTCCCTTTTTATGTCTAAATAAAAACGAAGGTTTTAACTTTAATATAATAAAATTACATATACAAAACAGTTATCAAGTAAGAATTATAGTTACAATATTTAGTCCATTTATATTTGGCAAATTAAGGAAAATACTCTTATCATCTATCCTATCATTGTGAGTCGAAAGTTTTATATCTAATCTCTCTTTTATAATTAAAACTGTCTTTCTTCAACTCCATCAAAGATTCCAGAAGGATATAATATTACCTAAGTTATCAGGAAGTGCATTGTAAGCAAATTTCAAAACTCTAGAATCAATAGAGACATCTTGATGCTTGACAGTCACCCAAAGTTCTTCTGTAATGTTGGAGCATCAATCTTCAGCCTATTGGCCCATAGCATCTGGCAGACTTTTCCATGAAGCAGGAAATTTGAAAGACAGTTCCATCTATATTGGCAGTTTCACAGTCATTTTCTTCTGTGTCCTACAGAATGTCTGGCAGACTCTTTCATGAAGTAGGAACCCCAAAGGACAGTTTCACCTTTAGGCAAGTTCAACAGTCATTTTTCTGTAGGTTCTTCATGTCCAGTTCGTATAACATACCATCAAGCAGTCCAGGCAAGAGCAATTTCTTGCCCAAATGGCTAACCAACTTCGTAAGGAGCCTCTTCAATGCCCATCATCCTTTTGAAGTAGATTGGTGCTGCCAGGACCATATGTGTCTCATTGTCATGAAAAGTCCTAAGTTCTTAAAACATTTTAAATGTCATATTCTGTTAGTCTTTGAAAAGTTTGAAGAATATCTATCCATTTTAAATATACCTCTGTACATTTAGAAAACCTAATATTACTACAGGCTTGACTATTATAGATGACTATCTATTAAACTGTATTTCTTAATTATACATTGTATTTTTAAACGAAGTGCACAAACACAATACCTTAACCAAGAGCAGAAATATATATACATAACAAAATTGACCTTAAATTTGTATCAATAAACCAAGATCTATACCAATGTAGCATATCCCCCTTTAAATGTAAGCAAACATTCATAAACAATATTTGGGGAATTTGAGCATAGTTCTGTCCAAACTGCTTCCTGCATTTTGTTGGGTGAAGTAATTTTGGGAGGGGGGGGTGTTCACGGCAACCTTTCAGGGGGTCTTGGTCTATCAAATCACATTCATCTGGAAGGAATCCATAGGTTCTCATCTTCTGTGAAAACAAAAGCAGAACCTCTTTTCCAAAGCAGCATATCCTTAGATCTAAATTTTGAAGTCAAGATACCTTTATGTTGGTTTAACTTAGCAGTGTATACAATAAAATGTCTCTCTGTATTTAGTTCATTCACAGTCAAGAGATTTAAAGAAAACACAATGATATACATAATCCAGACTCTCTGTGTATATTCCGTCTTTATGTGGCTTATTTTTTTACTCCTTTAATCTATGACTTTCTGTACTCTTTATTTTTAAAAACCATTTATTTTCATTTATAGCTCTCTATATTCCTTTTCTTCTCTCTCTCAAGCCTACATACATCTATCCAACACTGTGACCCATTCAAAGGTCTTTTTCTTCTGAATCTGTCTTTATTGTTTATCTGTAATTATTTTCTGACTAGGAGTGCTTTTTTTATTTTAATGCTTAGCAGGCATGGCTAGGACCAACTTCATGGTCCTGCCTGTTGGTTCTGCCCAGTCCAGCATGGCAGATGTCTGTTCAGTGTGAGCCATATGGCAGATGAGGGGGGGGATCAGCTTTGTTGATCTCACACCCTCAGGGCTTGCTCACCTGTGTCCCCAACAACAGGGTCAGCTCTAGTGTGCAGCTCAGATGGGAAACAGGCTGCTTTCTCATGCACTGCAGCTGGCGAGGGTCAGGGTCAGCTCTCCTCCTCTCGTGACCCCAGGGCCAGCTCTCTCACCTGCTGTAGGTGGTAATATGTAACAGGGGAGGGCGTCTTTCCCTCACCCATACTGCTGCATGGCAGACAAAGGGTATAGGGTCAGATCTCCTGCTCTCATGCCTTCAGGTCTTTGACTGAAGACTCGGGTCAGGACTCACCCGAGTCCCTGAACACTGGGTTAGCTCTAGTGTGCTTCCCAGATGAGGTGCGTGCCTGTGGGGAGGGGCGGGGCCATCTTTCCTGAGTGCAGAGTGAACTCTTCCCTGCGGGGTAGGGCCAGCTCGTCTACTGTAATATGCAGTGAGGGGCAGGAAATTGAATAAGACACTGAGCAGTATCCTGAGCATAGGAAACCTCAACGCCCACCCCCACAGTGCCCTACTAGCAAGACTGTACCCATTCCAACAAAGCCACACCTCCTAATAGTGTCACTCCCTATGAAATTATGGGGGCCAATTGCATTCAGACTACCACACGCACATGCCTAATGATGCATAGGCACAAGCTGGTAAATAGTGGATTCACCCTAGAAGTTCACTTGAGGCCCCAGATTTGCCTCACTGTGCACACACACCACTTCAGGCCACATCAGTCCTTCTATTCTTTATGCCCAATGTGTGTTGGGAATACAGTTAAACAGAAACTGTTAAATTCAGTCCTTACTAGGGGTGGAGAAATCTATGCTGTTGTTCAGGAATGGGAATGTATGTACCCTGCCTGGTACACGTGGAAGCCCAATGGAGCTCCGAGTCTGGTGTAGAGAGGGGTGTATGTGCGGAGTATGTGAAGAAGAAGGAAATGGGCTGTCAAGTACATTATTAAAAGAGGGGGTAGGTTGCATAATCCAAGGCCAAAGCCAGATAGAGTCCTAGGCTAAACTGTCTATACATGCCTGTCTTACATATCTGTATGCAAATAAGATTTGTGTTTCTTTTCTTCTTTCTTTGTTTTGTTGTTGTTGTTGTTTCTTGTTTGTTTTCGAGACAGGGTTTTTCTATGCTGTCCTAACTGTCCTGAAATTCATTCTGTAGACCATGCTGGCCTCAAACTCAAAGACGTACCCCTGCTCTGCCTCCCAAGTGCTGAAATTAAAGGTGTGTTCCACTGCCACCTGGCTCTTATTTCTTTGTATGAATGTTTTTCTTGGTTTAATGTAACAGAAAGTGGCATATTATTTAAATAAAGCAAGAAGAGTTCCTTTATGTTACTATTCTCTTTATACAAAAACAAGCTTGTTTTATATTTACCTTACATACTTTAAGCAGTTGTAGTCTATTGGGAATTTTTAAGTAAGTAATACAATTTAAATTTAACGAGCTAATGAAATGATACAAAAATTGCTTCAGAGAATGAATGTGGTTTAAATGTCTGATTTTGGCAAGCTCCTTTGGAACAACATAGATTATAAACAGTAAAAAGAGAATCACACAAGCATTAATCCCACCTTGAACAGTCGTGGATACACCACCCAGTGCAGGGACAGGGAATCGTCAAGCAACCTGTGAGTGTGTTGTGTGCAGAGTTCCTTCCGCACCGTGCGAGTGGTCTCTAACAATGGCCTTTCTATCAGCCCTAATCTTTCTGTGTCTAGGTTGTCAGAGAACGTGCTGTCGGGACTCTAATGAAGCATCTTGGTGTGCTTTTTCACAGGGTGCCCATAACAATGGAAGCAGTGTCTCTCTGCCAGATTCCTTATTGCTATATCTCATGAGCCTACCTGATCTCGAGGAAGAGCCGTATTTAATGATGACAAGCCTGTCAGCAGTGTAGCAACAAGAAGGAAAAGGGCCACAAATAAAGAAGTATTTAGATTTCTATTGCACAAGGAAGATATCTCCGTGAACAACCCCTCTGCACTACCTTTTCCCAAGATGAACCGATACACGACCATGAGACAGCTGGGGGACGGCACCTATGGGAGTGTGCTTATGGGCAAGAGCAACGAGTCTGGGGAGCTGGTGGCCATCAAGAGGTATGTGTGCGGCACCGTGGAGTTTCCATCCAAGTGTTGGGTGTTCAGTTCAGACCCCAAAGTAGTTTGAGTGATGAGGGACACTATTCTAGGAAACAGAAAATTACCAAAAAGGAGGATTCTTCCACAAAGGAAAAGTCTGTGTGATAATACAGACTTTTATTCTGATAAATAAACTGCGTAAGTCTGAGGGTTCTACATTTTATGCCTGATGCATTTGGGATAAAACTGGAAGTAGTGCATGTTTCTCAAAGTTAAACATGGGGAACAAACCATAACTTACTGTTTCTTTAAAAACAATCGGCTTCAAGATAAGGTTGGACTTAAGTGAATTCTGAAAAGGATATGCCATCTCAGCGTCCTCAAGCAAGATCAGATACTTTTAAAATTCTGAAATCAATTTGTAAAGAATCTGCACCACCTATGTACACTTTGGGATGAGTGCAATCATTTTATTAAACTAGTTTTCCTGTATGGCTTTCTTTCAATTGATTTTTGCTTTAAAGCCATTATGTTAGATTTGTCTTTTGGGAAGTAACAACTTTCTAGAAACCCATCGCACTGAAAAGTGCCTTTGGGGGAGTCTTGATCTTCACCAAAATGATTCATAAAGCTTCCTTAGAGAGCCTGAATGACTCTTAAGTGAAATTCTAATTCCATGAGGATACTTTAAAAATAATAGCAGTGATACCCTTCATGTCTCATGATGGTTCATAGAAAACTCAGAAACAAAAGAACATCCACTAAGTTTTCAATATGCTTATATACTTTGTAATACAGTAGCACATGCCCCATGTGAAGGCATCTGAGCCACAGAGAGGCCATGCAAGGCCATCCATCCAAGAGCAGGTGAGCAAGGATTTGCACCCGGCTCTGCAGTTCCACAGTCCACATCTTGACCTCCTTCTGGCTGTCAGATTTTTACCCGGTTCCTCACGTGTGCGCTCTGACTTTACGAGGCCCCACATTTTAGAGATTAGCCCACATAATCAAGTAACTCTGAGTTTCCTGGTGATCTACAAATCATCAATGGGAGATTGTATCATTTTCTCCCTTCTGTGACAAAATGCTAGACAGAGACACCTATAGGGCGGAAAGACTTATTTGTGCCTCATGATTGGAGAGGGGGTGCAATCCGTCATAGCAGGGAGGCCTGGTGACAGACTGGTCATGTTACCTCGGCTGTTCTGAAGTAGACAGAGGTGAACTCTGTCATCAGCTCAGTTTTTTTTTTCCTTTTTATTCAGCCCAGGATCCTAGCCTGTATAGGTTGGGGTCACTCACATTCAAGGTTGTCCCCTCTTTTGTTGAACTCTTCTAGAAACATACTCATACACACGCACCCAGAGGTGTGTCTCCTTGGTGATTCTGAAGCCAGTCAAGTAATAATCACAGAGGTCATATCACTAAGTGCAGTCATGGACATAGCTGGGTGGTTAGGTTTAGGGGAAGGCTGTTTTGTCCTGAGACAAGATCTCACTGTGTAGTAGCCCTAGCTGTCCAGAACTCACTATGTAACCCTGGCTATCTGGAACTCGCTCTGTAGACCAGTCTGGCCTCAAACTCACAGAGATCTGCTACCTCTGTCCTCTGAGCACTGGCATACACCTGCATGCCTGGCACATAGTTGTTCTTGTCCCCTGTTCCCTTCAGTGACTAAACCTCCATTCACACAGAAATACGCTCTGTTGTCTGAGCAGTGCAGTTCCTTCACTATGTGCTAAACATTCCGCTGTGTCTAATGGGGAAGAGGGTAGACCATGAGAAAGGCTCTGGGGTCAGTCCCCGCCCACCCCAGGAGGAAAGCAGAAAAGGAAAGACTAAGTCTGGATTACCTGTGGTTTTGGTTTTGGTTTTGTTTGTTTGTTTGTTTTCCTTTCTTCCCTGATTTAAGGTAGTTCGTGACCCCTTACCCAAAGAAGACCTAGTGATGTAAATATTATTAGATTAAGTTTTTTGCTGAATTTGCTGCCAAACTTTGTAACTCTTGCCCTGTCCTGCTTCTGAGGTATAGTGTTTGTGTTTATCTTTTTTTTTTTTTAGGATACATACCCAATTTTATTTTTTTATTTTTTTTATTTTTTTTGAAAGTAATTTTATTAAATTATAAAAGTTTCCATTTCTGCCCCTCCTCCCAACACCCTCCCACTCCCCCCACTCCCTCTCCTCCTCCCTCTCCATCCCTAAGAGCAGTCAGGGTTTCCTGCCCTGTGGGAAGTTCAAGTTCCTCCCCCCTCCCTCCAGGTCCAGGAAGGTGAGTATCCAAACAGACTGGATCCCCAAAATCCAGTATATGCAGAGGAAACAAGTCCCAGTGTCATTGTCAATGGCTTTTCAGAAAGACTCCGGGCCAGCCACATTCAGAGAATCTGGTTGGATCGCGTCCTCGTTCAGTCCCAGTCCAACTGGCCTTGGTGAACTCTCATTAGATCAGTCCCCTTGTATCAGTGGGTGATCGCATCCCTCGCAGTCCTGATTTTCTTTTTCATTTTCTTCCTCCTTCTGCTCCTCATTTGGACCTTGGGGGGCTCAGTCCGGTGCTCCAATGTGGGTCTCCGTCTGTATCGCCATGTATCGACGGATGAAGGTTCCCTCTGGTCTTGCTTATCTTTTAAGTCCAAGAAAGGAAATGTGCACAGGAGACTTTTAAAAGGACAATCACAGTTAAAAAAAAAAAAAAACAGTTAAGAGCTCATTGAGAAGCAAAGCTCAGGGCAGTCATACTTGTGCTGAAACAGAATGGTGGCCTGGACCCCGCACACCTGAGCCCAAACCTGGCACCGTGAGGTGTAAAGAGAAAGGAGGGATTTCCTTCTGGGGAGGAAGAGTGGTCCCTCAAAGTGAATCCATAATCAAGAACACCAGAGGTGGTGAAATTTGTTTCTTGCAGCCTTCACTCCTAAACACTAACTTTTCCTCATTTATCTCAGGATGAAGAGGAAGTTCTATTCTTGGGATGAGTGTATGAACTTGCGAGAAGTTAAGGTAAAAAAGTCAAGGCCCCAGTTGTACACCATCTCCAAGGATAGCAACTAAGATCATTCTGTTCTAGACCAGTGGTTCTCAACCTTCCTAATGCTGCGACCCTTTAATACAGTTCCTCATGTGTGACCCCAACCATAAGACTATTTTCATTGCTACTTCATAACTATGAAGTTTTTGCTACTGTTATGAATCATAATGTAAATTATCTGATATACAGGACCTCTGATAATGCAATTCCCAAAGGGGTTGTGACTCACAGGTTGAGAACCACTGTTTTTGACTCTTCCAAATGCCTCCTAATGATAACTACATCTACCCCCTTCCTTTCCACTCCTCCTTGCTCCCATGTTAGTGGGGAACAGAGAATAACCAGGCCGCCTTCTACTTAAAGATGACCTTCAAGCTCACACTCCGAAAGGGAAGGCAGCTTTTGAAATCATGACCTGCCTTTCCCTTGTAGTTTATGCTGTGTGGCTTGGGTGAATTTTTAGACACTTTGTGAGGAGCCTGACATGGGTAAATCAGAAAGAGACAGTTAGACCTGCTTTGGAAAATGAGGAGAAAAGTGGCCGCTTGACACTCCAGGCAGCCACTGTCGCGTTGGTTGCCCCTTTTCACTCAGTACTCTTTGATTAGATCACTTAATGTTTGCTTTAAATCAATGCTCCAAGAGATTTTAAAATGATGCAGAGATTAGCACGTAATGTGTTAATGAACCTAAGAGAAATTGACAGTTACCTGTGGTAAATATCTAGCACAAATGAGGTCCTGCAGATTTCTGTAAATTTGCTTTAACAAAGGCATTGCTCTCCTGTTTTATAGTCCCTGAAGAAACTCAACCATGCTAATGTGATTAAACTAAAAGAAGTTATCAGAGAAAATGACCATCTTTATTTTATATTTGAATATATGAAAGAAAACCTCTATCAGCTAATGAAAGACAGGTATGTCTTTATTTTATGAAAACTGTCTTTTCCCTGTCATTTTCCCCATGAATTCCTTGGATCCTGTCAGTGCGTCACACTTGATGATTTGCTGGTTTATAACTGAATTAATTGAACTGATACGGTTATTTGATCACACAGTAGCATTTGACACTGAAGAAACAGCTATGAGGTCGCTCCACTCTTCACTGTAATTCCTTAGCAGCTAACGTGAAGACATCGTACAAACTACCAGCCATCCCTCTCCTTTTGAATGAAGGGAGTCAGTAGTTTTATATTCAAAAGTGAAGCTGGCTTTAGGCAAAAATGAGGATGTTGTCTTCATTATCCTTTCAAGCATCTTAAGGAAGAGTTGTGAAACAATGAAGAAAAAGGTAGCTTTCAAGATGAGACGGGAAGTGGCTCAGTCGGTGAAGGGCCTGGGGACAAGCATGAGGACCCGAGTTCTGATCCTTGGGGGCCACACAGGAAAGTCAGGTGGATGGCTGTGACCCCAACATGGGAGAAGGGAGACAGGTGGAGCCCTGGGCCTCATCTGTCAGACAGTCTGGCCAATAAGTAAACTCCTAATTCATGAAAGACCCAGTTTCAAGGAAGAGAGTGTTGGAGGAGCATCCAACACCGACTCTGGCCTCTGCAAGTAAATGCTCACATTCTGATATTCACCCTGTCCCCATCCAGAGGGTCTGATGAACTCATTCATTAGAGATACATAAGTGATAAAAATTAATGCTACCAGCCTAAAGGACATTCTCACTCTGATGTTCAGTTGTTGATAATTTTAGCTGATAGTCTAACAGAAATTAATTTTTGGGACCTTATCATGGATATTATCTAAATACCACATCTAAGGTAATAGTCACTGGCCTCATGTGACTTTCAAGCCCTTAAAATAATTAAATAGAACTGTGCTATACTGTAAAATAAATTATACACCAAGTTTGGAAACTTACTATAAAATTATTAATAATCTTTATATGAGCCAGGCATGGTAACTTAACACCTGTAATCCCAGCACTTGGGAGGTGGAGGAAGGAGGACCAGAAGATACAGAGTCGTCTTCAGCTCTGTAGCCTCTTCAGGGGTAGCCTGGGCTTCATTCATAAGACCGGGTCATCTGCAGCTCTACAGCCTCTTCAGGGGTAGCCTGGGCTTCATTCATAAGACAGGGTCATCGGCAGCTCTACAGCCTCTTCAGGGGTAGCCTGTTGTGATCCAGCTGCCCTCACTCCCCCTGACTGGCAGGGGAACTTCCTTGTGGTCTGTAATTGACAAGGATGTTTGTGTTTTTTCTGACCAGTGGGTCTCCAAAGAAGGAGTAGAGGTATAAAAGGTTGCTGGGCAAAATAAAGGTTGCTGTTCTTCCACCTGAAAAGAAGCCTCCATGTCTCAATCCCGGGGCCCCCCGCCACTCTTGGCTATCTGGGCTGCGCTGGCTGCAGCAGTAGCCTGGGCTTCATTCATAAGACAGGATCTCACAATTCTAAGAATAACGCAGTAACAGCAACAACAACTGTGTACTGATTGTGTGTTGAAATAAACGCACCTTTTAATCTACGGTGGAAAGGCAGAGGTGAAGAAAGGCCAGTAAGAGGATACCAAGAAGGAAAAGGTTCTGGAGTTTCCATGGTATAATAATGGCTGTAAGCAACAATTGCAAATTGCATAGTTCAAAAGATAGAAGAAAGAATCTTGAAGTTTTTACCATAAAAAATGATAAGTCTTTGAAACATAAATATTCACTCTGATTGAACATTATATTGTATGTACATACATGAAAATATCACATAATATCACATTATATGCATTTTATGTTTTATATTTAAATATGCACTTTACACTTATGCACCAGTCAAAATAAACTTAAAAGTAAATTTTTAATTAAGCTTAATGTTTCCTTTTTGTTAAATGTAGCTGCTAGGAAAATTAAACAGGACTTGTATTTAGCTCTTAACTGTATTTTTCTTGGATGGTGCCAATATGCAGTATAAAACTGAAGCATAGAAGGACCTAAAACATGCAGGCCCTACTTCTCAAAGTCAATGTAACTGTTTTATATACCGATAGTTTTCCAGGGTATTTTGCTCTTTGGGGGGAAGTTTAGATTTTAACTCTTGAATGTTTATATAAGACATTCGCTTTTGGATTGGAGCTTTTCTGAAGCAGTAAAATAAACCAAAAAATTTTCCCATTTTAACCCTATAGCATTTAGCACAAGTCTATTAATTATGGCTTTAGCCAGCAGAGGCTACGAGGCAGCAGAGTATTAGCCTTCTTCACTTTTGGTTGGTTACCAGACTATTCATTTCTTCCAGAAACAAACTGTTCCCTGAGTCAGTCATCAGAAATATTATGTATCAGATACTGCAGGGGCTGGCCTTTATCCACAAACATGGTGAGTTTCCTTGTAGTCGCATTGCCCTGTGACTTTATTATCAGGACCCATATAGGAATAAGATCTCATCTGCTAAGTTATGCCTAAGCACACTGATGTTGTCATTTAAACATTATCATTTTTATAATTGTGTATAGATGTCTATTATCTATAAGAGACTTTTAAGACGTTTGATCATCAATCTCCTTCCTTATACCCCTCCCCCAAAACTAAAAAAAAAAAAAATCTCTTTTAGATGTTTTGGGGAGGTTAGGGAAGGAATTCTCTTTTTAGACAGAAGTAGAAAGTAAACAGTTTTATTTGACACACTGCACAGAGAACAGCAAGCACGGAGGTAGCGTGTAAGGTGCTAGACTGCAGGGGAGCCACTATGGAGACTCCGCGGGTGATGTGCCTGCAGTTTCCTGTGTTTACACACAGAGGGCAGCAACGTGATTTGGGGTTGTGGCTGATTTGTTTTTCTTCTTCATTCTGCTGTTCTGTTTGTGCAGGATGGAGCTGCGGGGTTTTTCAGTTTTGTGTTTTTTTTGTTTGGTTGGTTTTCATTGTTATTTTTCTTCTGTGTGAGGGATGCACTCTGGGCCGGCCTTGCCCTGGAGGACCTGTTTCCTTCTGTTCTCTGTTCCTCCAAACTTGTTCTGGAGAAGATTGGAAGCCTTTGATGAAGCAGGGCTGCTCATAGGGATTTAATAATGTGCAGTGCCTGTGTGCGGTGTTTCGTGGTTGTCCTTGGCATTTGCATTTAATTATCTCTATTTTCTGAGTGGAATGAAAGCTGGCATTTTTTTTTTGAATCTCTTACTCATTTAGTTTTATGGGATTTTGTTTGTCCATCGAACCAACATAATTACTGGCTCAGAAATCTAATATATTTGCTGTTAATGAGAGTCTGTTTAGAATCACTGGCCATTTGGGTATTCCGTTAGAAAGATGTGTAGATTGTGTCATGGTATTGCTGCACTTGGAACCTGGGAAGGCAGTGGTTTAAAATGATGATGCTTAGAGAGCCGGGCCTCAAACCCTCACCAAATGTGGTCCTGACCACAGTTCTTCTCCCTAGTGAGGTCTTCAGGATCTGACGCCCAAGCCCACCTTAGGGAAGAATCCTCTTAAAACCAGTTTTGAAGAAGAGTCCTCACGGCTTCCCTTTCCCTGCCCGTTGCCACAGGTCTGCCCGTTAGCCCCTGCTACTGACCATTATTTCATATATTGAATTGGTAATAATGGGCATTTTCATTACTGGGTTTTCAAAGGCTTAGCCGCCAGGGAAAAGCGAACTGTTAAATAAACGAGGAGATTAGTTAAAATATGTGGAGCCCTTTTGTCCAGTGGACTTTTTAAATATGTGATTAAACTCAGGGAATCTCATGTTAAGCCACAGTATAACAGCAGGAACGAGATCGGCTGAATCAAGCCGAGTCAGGAAGCGATGGCCAAGCTTCTGTCTGTGCCTCTTCCTTCTTGTTTGTTACACAGCAGTGATAATAGCGCATCCCCGTTCCGTAATGCCGTGGAATAATAGATAGTCCCAGTGTGTCCGTAACCATCCCTCCTATGCGTCTACTGAAGTCACACATTAAAAACACACGTCACATGGGCAGCTCTTTTTAATGAATGACCTTCTGTGTTGTGTCCCCTCACCCTGATACTTCCTCCACAGAAAGAATCTCCTCTCCAACCCCGCGTTGGTAGTAGGAGGGCTTGGTGCTACTGATACAAACCAGGGTCGTGTGATGGTGATAATTCACAAGCTGACTTACTGCCTTTCTCCTCTCTCGCTTGCGTAGGCTTTTTTCACAGGGACATGAAACCCGAAAACTTGCTTTGTATGGGTCCAGAGCTGGTGAAAATTGCTGATTTTGGACTTGCAAGAGAATTGAGATCACAGCCACCATATACTGACTATGTGTCTACCAGATGGTAACAATTATGTTTAAGTTTTTCTATGTTGAATAGTTAATGATCTTTCCAAAGGTTCCAAATTTGGTTTTTAAAACAAAATATGGAGATTTTATGTTCTTAACAGAGGGGGATGAATTGGCTCATGGCTATTCCAATAATAAAATAAGAAAAAAATAACTTTTCACTCAATTATTCACTCAACAAACAAATTGAAACCCTACCATATGCTAAACATTACTGTACGCAGTGGGAACACAAGGCCATGAACAAAACAGAAGAGAAGTTCCGTACAGTTTACATGACAGCCAAGACACAAATAAGCTAAACAGTATGAGTAACCAAAATCCATGTCACAGTCCCAACTGCCCTCAACATAGGACATTCTACTCAAGGGAAGGCTATTCAGCAGGAAAAAGGAACCGTCTATAGTGACATCCAACACTATGGCTACTTCTCAGAGGTCACACAGAAAGAGAGCTTCTATGGAATGCCGTCAGTTGTATAACGTACGAGACCAGAGGAAGCTGCGTGTTTAACTTAGAATAGTGGTAGCGTGAGCCTTCGAGGATCCCAGGAGCATACCTTTCTTGATCTGGTTGTTGGGCCCATGAGTGTGTTCTATTTGTGGAAAATTCACCAAGCTGTATTTAGGAATTTAAGTGCATTTTCTTGTATATATCTTTGTAAAAGCAAGTGTGTATGTCCATCACGTGGCAATACATTATTATAAACAAAATAACACACGGAGAGGTGATGGGAAGTTGGGTCAGTGAGGAGGGAAAGAACGGTGCTGTTATAATGGAGTCTCACTGACACCAGCCCTGAAGGAGATACTAAAAACAGATGCTGAGGGAAAGGCCTGGGGCAGGAGTATGTCTTAATAAGTTCTGCAGAGAGCACAGGGAGTAAAAATGGCAGTTGTGGGAAGCGAGGTCAGAGCAGCGGAGGGGTGGATGGTCACACGGGGCCTTTTGTAGACCATATGAGGACTAGCTTTTTTAATTAATTGATTGATTGATTGATTGATTGATTGATTTGCTTGCATGTTTGTGTGAGAGTGTCAGATCCCTGGGACTGGGGTTACAGTTATGGGCTGCCATATGGGTGCTGGACATTTTCAATCAGACATTTTAAAAGGGAAGGAGATCCCCTATTCAAGGACAGCCCTTCCACTTTCCTCTCCTGACCTATATGTGGGTACATGAACACCTGATGATTTTGTCCATGGTTATTTCCGAATAATTCAGTGAGTACTCACCTTCCCGATTATCCATATGAAGACCTCATTTCCTCTACATTTGTAGACAGACAGGAAGTAGGTGTCACGCCAAGTCCCTTGGACACAGAAGGCACTTTGTCCTTGGACCTTGCTGGAAGCTATGAGTGAGCAGCTGACCCCACTGCCCTTTCACCTGTGACGTTACCCTGGAAACCACTTTTCCCACACTGTTTTCTGTTTTCACAGGTACCGTGCTCCTGAAGTTTTACTAAGATCTTCGGTGTACAGCTCCCCCATTGACGTGTGGGCCGTGGGAAGTATAATGGCCGAGCTATATACGTTTAGGCCTCTTTTCCCAGGGACAAGTGAGGTTGATGAAATCTTTAAAATTTGCCAAGTGTTAGGGACTCCCAAGAAAGTAAGTAGTCTCCTTGTCGTGGCCTTTGGGGACCCCTCACTTGCTGCTTGGTTTTTATGTTTTATGACTGACTTCTCATCACTTTAACAGAGATATGAGATATATTTTCAGTATCAAATAACTTCATCCTTTAATAGCTTTCTTACAAAATTTTTTTAACTGAGTAACAATAAGGATTGGAAGAAGCCAGAATCCCACCAGATTTGAAGGGAGAAAAGGTGTTTGTTTTTCTATAAGAAATGAATGGGAGGGTCTGTCTAGAGCTTAAATTTGGGCTGATATTCATGACTCCAAGATTGCTCACTACAACTGCCCTGCTTGTTCTGTGGATGCCTTTCACCCATTCATTAAGCCCTGGGACCCGAGACCTTATTTTCTCAGCCTTTTTGTGGTTTCCATTTCTATTGCTACTGGATTCTGAGTACCTTTCCATGGCTATTGCATTTGGAGGTAGACCTTACTGTCTAAGATGCAGTCAGTAAATATAACGTGTAATTATAGCTTAGTGAACCAGCTCTGGCCTCTCAGTTGACAGGTCAGTATAGATGCTAAGACGCGAAGTTGATGCTCATTTCTCAACTATAAGTGCTTTAATGTTGGGCTTGCTCTGTTGGGTGGTGGGGTCTCCACAGGTTGAAGCCTCTCTGTAAAGCTTCTGTCTTTATTTGTTCAGGCACCAAGTTGTTACTGAGACTGAAAACCAGAAAGAGTTTGATATTTTGAAATCTGTAGATGTACTCTTTAATTTTTACCGCCTCTAAGTTCAGTGTCATTTCCGTAAGGGTTAGGGTCTGATATTTTATTTGTACATTTGTTTATCTTACTCTGTATTGAAGTTTCCCCACATCAATGTTTTTTGGTCACGCATGTGTTTTTTATATTAATTACAAAAATCCGTTTTCTCTTTGGGTATATCCTTAAACAGAGTGATTGGCCAGAAGGATACCAACTTGCATCCTCCATGAATTTCCGCTTTCCTCAGTGCATCCCTATAAACCTAAAAACTCTAATTCCCAATGCCAGCAGCGAGGCTATTCAGCTTATGACAGAAATGTTGAGCTGGGACCCAAAGAAACGACCAACCGCAAGCCAGGTGAGGCAGTTCTCCCAGCGGCAGCTTTTTACAGTTGTGCGGATTTTTAAAAATTATCTATTTTATGTGTATGTGTGTGTGCCTCAGAATATGGAGTGTACCATGTGTGTATAGGAGCCCTCAGAGCCCAGAAGAAAGCATTGGATCCCCTGGAACTGGAGCTGTAGTGGTTGTGAGCCACTGTGTAGGGGCTTAGAGCAGGCTTGTTCCTGGACCACCAACCAGTGCCCAAATCATGACACGGAGACTTATTATTGGTTATTAATGCTTGGCCTTCTCTTATACTTGTCCCTCTAGCTCTTATATTAACCTCATTCTCTTGATCTACATTTTGCCTCTGGATTTTCTACCTTTCTTTCATGCTATATGTACTCCCTTTCCTGCTTCTGGCTAGCTGGCAGTTGCCTGGCCCTTGCCTTCTCTCTCTCTCTCTCTCTCTCTCTCTCTCTCTCTCTCTCTCTCTCTCTCTCT